ACATAAATATGACTATATATATACATATATGTACGTGTCATATCCCTAGTACATATTCACTTATGCTAATACATCGCAAATAATATTTCTGAAATTCTTCATCTAACTACTTATAATAATAAGAAAAAATAAATAAATAATACATATATATATTTTTTTCAATTTTAATGCAAATTTCTTACATAAGCAAAAGGAAAGGACCATCACTCATCTATACAGTCAAATACCCATGTGATTATAAAATAAGTAAAATATATTGAAATGATGGGTACTTTTGACATATGATTTTACCAAAGTTAGAAGATTGTCCATACAAATTTTGTCAAACAAATAAATTCCTATGTTTAAACATGCATTTCCTAGAGATTATAAACTTTTTTACTTCCAACTAACCTTAATTATTTTAATTTGGTTTTCTAATTTATGCTTACAAGCAAAAAATTTTTTTTAGAAAACCCTTTTCATTGCAGCTTTTAAAAAAAATGCAGGCGATTACAGGGTTTGGTGACAACGCCATTTGGTAGTCCAAATATTATTGTACCATATTCACAGAAAAAGAGAGCCCACGTGCACTAACACAATAAGAGGCCTTATATTAGCAAAAAGTCTTATATTAGCAAAAAGCTCTCTCATTCATCACTCGTGCGAGAAAGCACTTGTATTTGACTTAGCTCGCGTCGCTCCAACAGTCGCAATGGCTGATTAAGCAAAGCACAAGCGTGTCGCTCGAGAGATCCGAGTTCGAGTCCTAGAGCAGCGGGTGTTTCTTTTATTACTTAATTTTTATAATTTTTTATTTAATGTTCTTTTAAGTTTTAGATCTTATTGTTTTAAAAAGAAAAATACAAATTTTTAATTTAATTTAATTTTTAAAAATATATACATATATTTTATGTATTTGTTTTCTGTCTTTATTTAATTTTTAGATGTTATTATTTTTCTATATCTATGTTATTCTTTTCTATTTTTTGTTTTATCAAATATTTAAATTTTACCTTTATGCATTAAATTTTTTTAAATTTTTATTCTTCGTTTAGTTTAATTACTTAATTTTTAAAAACTTTTTAAAATTTTTTTTAACTTTAATTATTGTTCTTTGTTTAATTTTATTTTCTTTTCTTTTAATTTTTAACTATTGCTTCTTTCTCTTTCCAATTAATTGCTTTCTTTTTCTAATTTAATTTTTATAATACATTGTTTTAAAATGAAAAAAATACACTGTTTGATTCGTTTAATTTATAACTAAAAGTATTTTTTTATTTATTTCTGCTTTATTCCCATTTTATTTATTTTTAATCTAATTTATTTTATTCGTGGGCCATTCCATTGTGACTGGTGGGACATTTTACTCCAGAATGTTATCAATTGTAAACTTTAGCTATGTCGTCGGAACTTATACAACAGCAAAATATATATTTTTTTAACATAGAACGATACCTAATGTATAAGACTGCTTTAACAAAAATGCCAAACGATTTCTAAGTTTTTTGTAACTATCATTTGAATTAATGTGACTGGCGGGACAATGAAAAGAACTCTATTTTACCCTTGTGCACTCAAAGATGAATTTTAGCCAAAACACTTAATCTGCACGAACGGTGTTTTTATGTTGTTTGTGTTGAATTATATGCTTTCGTTTTCAATAAAAAGTTTGTTTATGTAATCCTCATAGAAATATTAAAAAATATTTAAAGTAGTGACTGGTGGAACATCTCCTTTTGACTGGTGTAAAGTAATTATGCATGAAATAAAAGTTTCCATAGACAAAAATTACATTAGATAAAAACTACTGAAATAGAGATAATTAGGCCATATTAAATGTATGTCGTTTTCCTCTTTTCAATTGAATGATCCTTATGAGTTTTTATTGATTTAGGAACATTTTTTTTTTAAATTTAATTAATTTTTAAAATCGTATTGCTAAAACTTCAACAACATAACGCTAAGACCTCCTCGTTAGCAAATATTTCAATTAGTATTTCGGAAGACAGCAAAGAGCTTTCAAGACAGTTGTTAGAACAGCCCTGTTAAATGAGCTCATTATGAGCGTAAAGATTCCGAAATAGGACTGTTAAAGACTAATTTATGATTGCAAATGTTTTTTTGGGAGAGTACAGAAAATATATTGTAGTACACCAAAATGCACTGCAGTACACGGAAGAATTTTCACATTACGCTAAGTTCAAATATCATAGAAACTTTACCAAAAACATCAGCTAAAGCTACTTATAAAATACTTGTATTTACCTCAGTCTTTTCTGGCAGGGATCCTTCTGTCTATGTTACCCACACATATATAAATTTTCAAGTCTTTGATATAATAAATCTGTATACATGGTACTGTTGTTGTTGTTATCTTCTCCAACTTATATTGTCGTCCGTTCTAGGAATGTTCTCACTATCAATGCCCTACATTCGCAATAACTTTTAAAATGACCACAACAGCCTTGGCTTGAATAGTTATGCTGCTTGAAAAGATGACTGGACAGATTGACTCTAAAGTGAATTGCTTACAGCTACTTTTTAATATGAACATATACATATATACAAATATGCACACATACATACATATGTAGCTGAAAGTATGGTGGCTGCTTCTGCTTCAAAGTTAGATGAAAATGATTGGTCGACTTGATTGTCCATTGGTTCGGTTTGCTTGTCCACTTAAATGTTTGCTGTATGCACGAGTATGTAGATATGTACTTAGTTGTTGTGGTTGTTGTTGGTAAATAGCTTTCGTCTTTGATAGTTAGTTGGTTGGCTTATGCGGTCGCTTGGTTAGTTAGTTCGTTGCATGCCTAGCTGCCTGGCTGCCTGCCTGGCTGGCTGGCTGGCTGACTGAGTAACAGTCGGGCGCTGTTGTACTCAATCTCTCCAATAGTCACCTGTTGTTGTTTATTGCCAAGCCGTACTACTACGGCGCGTATACGCAACGTCTGCCCAAGTGACACTTTCGTTCTTAATTTGTTTGGTGGCTTGGCGCCAATGTGGCTTCGATGTTCGAATATATATGTATATATGTGAATGTTCCAACATTCTTTGGTTTATGTATTGGTGCACGTAAACACTTGAACTGTGTGCGAGTGCTCACAAATGGATGCGAGTGGGGTTGGTCGATCAATTTGTTTGTCACTATTTTTTACTTGTTTATTTGTCTCGCTGCAAATGATGACAAGTTAAGAATTGCAAAACAAGAAAAAAACAACCCAGAAAATAATTTTCAGTTCACATACTAGCGCACAACAACAGTGTTGTTTATTGGTGCAATAAAGGCGGCGACGCGTCACACGCCTGCAATGCAATGAACTTTGAAGGTTTTCCTCCGTTGCTCACAGAAACAATGGCAAAATGTGGGTACTATGACTTGTGAAATATATTCAAATACAAACACACTCGCTCCTACTTATCTAAATATTCGATTTTATTATTTGTTGCACGCACTCGTGTGTTGCAAATATGCTACATTTACATGAATCGAAGTGGTGTGTAATTGCGCGTAATGGCAATCAGCTGTCAGCGTATTAAATATTTGTGCCAGACAGTTGAACGAGCCAGCAAATTCCACTTTCAATGCAAATTTCCAATGACATTTGAGTGTAGAAAAATATTTTCAAATATAAATTTTTGCGACATAAAACATAAACAACAACAACGCTAAATACATATGTATATTTTTTATCCTTGGTGCGTTTTGTGACAGAGCAAAGTATACGCATGATTTAGCTTCGAGAGACTCTCTTTCGATTTCAGAAATGAGGCGCATGCATGCATATTTCACTGTTGGTGGGATTTACAACAAAAAATTTAAAGTTTTATTAAAATTTTGACTGTATTTTTTATAAAAAATATGCTTTTGCCTTTTTTAGGCATTTATAAAAAGTAAAGTTAACATTAAAATGTACTTTTGGACCTGAGAGTTCCAAAACAATACAACGATTTCTGAAGAAATAATAGACAGTGCCGAAGAATTCGCGATATTCCCTGCGGAGTGTCGAAATTACCTCCAAAATGTCCTAAAAAAAAACCCGGCAAATTCTCGAGAAACTCCAAAAAAATCCCGAAATGTATTCAAAAACCAGAACAAAATTTATATATTATTTGGTGAAAAATGTGGAGTAGGTATTGAAAATGTCCTTTGAAAACTTTATCCTTGAGTACCCTTGAAAATTTCTAACAGTTAAAAAAAAATATATATATGTTAATAACTAAGAATTTCGCCCTTTTAACTTATTAATATAGTTATAATAATAATAATAATAGATTGGCACTCAAAATTTGTTAGTGCTTGGCCGAGCTTCTCCTATGCCTCGTCCTTCTCTTTCGTCCGGCATGGGCACAGATGAGCCAAATGTTGAAGAATCTCGCTTTGATGCGAATTGTGGCTAGACGTTCGTCCACCGGGGTTAAAGCCAGTACACGGCGGCGGAGTCTCTTTTCCACCACAAATCCAACACCGAATTTTGCGCTGCTTTACATGGCAACTGTAGTAGACATCGCAAGGCTCCATCCAAGCTTACCTTGCATTGCCCCGTCCATCGAATTTCTTGAATGGCGGTGATGCCAAACTTTGTCTTCGCGAGGACATCCAATTAAATAATTAATAAATAAATAAAATTTATAAATTACTTTGTAAATTAAAGAGACTATATGATTTTTTTTTTAATTTGAGTGCATCGAAAATAACTTCTTATAATAATAAAATAAACTTATTAATTTATGCGTCGGAATTGTATGTACATACACTTGCATCCACTTGAATAGCGACAGGCAAAATCTGAATTTTTTTTATACGGAAAAAACTTTACCTAAAATATGTGCATCATTTTGCAACACTTTCGTGAAAATTAAAATTAGTACCAAAGATCCTTATTTACATTTGAATTAATTTATGAGTTTTCACAGTCTTTGAAATATGTATGTAGATATGTACACATTTCCATTTCCCTGCCCGTCAACGCTCAAGTTTACTAATAGCTTATTTTCTCAATACTTATTTTCAGCAAAGGCCATATATACCATTAGCCAACTCTCAGCCGCTCTTCCCGCACTCTCGTACTTTTCAAAAGCGTTGACTGATTAAAATTGATGAAAATTTCCGACTGTGCTGGAGTCGCACTGCTATATTGCCTCGAGCATCTGCAAGTGTCATTGCAATTAAAAGCGCTTAATTGCGCTACAATGAGGAGGAAAACAACTACAATAAAAACAACAGCGGCAATTGTTGGAAAATAAACCACAACAACAACAAGAAGAGAATAAGAAAATAAAATAACAGCAAATGCAATTGGAAATTAGGAATAAAGTGAAGGGCAGAGCAAAAAGCAAACGAATAGTGCCGGAAAAGTAGTGCGGAGAGGAGAGTAGTAGGCGTGTAAAAGCGCCAGCTAAATTGGACAGTTGAACGGTAAAGAAAAAAAACGGCGCAGCAGACGTGTAGACACCGCCATGTTGCTGCCCACATCGTGCGGACCAGGGCCACCGCTCCCGCCGCCACCTCCACCGCCGCCGCCGCCACCAGCATCATCAGCAATGCTGGACGCCCATGCCAGCAAACGCCATGAGTCACAAAAACGGGTGGAAAAACGTGAAAATTGTGAAAATGATGAAAATGTGACACAAAAACAGCTAAAGTCAATAGTAGGTGAGGGCGAAATAGAAATGAAGGGAATGAAACTAAAAACTGCAGCAGCTAGAGTAGAAACAGAGCAAGAGCTATTGGCCGGCAATGTTTTGGTTGAGAAAACAACATTCAAGTCAGTGGGTATAGGCGAGCGCAACGTTGCTGTTGCTGATGCTGATGCTGATGATGATTTTAGCATAACAACAACAACAGGAAATGCTCCAGCAGCATCAACAACAACAATCGACAATTGTGCTGCATTTATTGAGAAAAGCGTTGTTGACAAAAGCAAAAACAGTTGGTCAATTTTAAAATTACCAATGATGCTCGCAGCAGCACTGACTACAGCAACAAAAACTCTAACAATGCCAGTGGCGAAAGAAGCAACAGCAACAAGAAAAATTGACTTAAAAACAAAAACAGCTACTGACAAAATAATAATAACAGCAGACAAGAAGCGGGCAACAGTTGGCATTACAACAACTGCTACAAAAACATCGGCTACAAGCTCACATCGGCTTACGAGTCATGTAAATTCGGCCAGTTCAAAAGGTGCTGCAAAATTAACAACGCCAGCAGCAGCAACAACAACAACACCAACTACTAAATGGCTGCTAATGTGGCTAATGGTTTTTACTGTAATGGCCCAAGCGCCTCTACATCAAGTGGCTGCCGAGAAGAGCAAACACTGTGAGTATTCAAACATTTCAATTAACAATCAACAGAGATATCTATACAAGTATGAGTAGTAAACTGTAGAATATAGCTTTGTTTTGAATTATGAAAATTTTAAAACATAGAAAAAAATATATAATATTAATAATTTAATCCATTAGTGATAAATTACATAGTCCACCAAACTTACAAAAACTATATAGTTATTATGAAAGGGGATTTGTCCGTGACCAACTTTGCCGAAAACAGCACTAGACCACAGGGTATTTGTTTTTTTATTTTTGTTAGGAAAGGTTAAGGTTCTGTCATTTCGTTCGAAAGTGGAGTTAGTTTATCAAAATATTAAATATAAAACGACTTTGAATATAATTTCTGTCCTCAGACTTCTGCAGTAAAATTTTGTGCGACATTTTTTGTATAGAACATTTAACCCTCTAATGTTTACCATAATGGGTTTTTAGACCATTATTTTATAGGGATTTCATGTTAGACCATTAAAAGTAATAAAATAATCTACAAAACTGTTAAGCAGAAACTTTTACTAAGGGTCACCTAAAGTGAAAAATATATCCCACTAAACCTATAGGTCTCTATCTCTATTCGGGGTAGTACCATTACAAATGTAAGCGGGTGTAAATGCGATTTACTTCCGAGTGAATTTGAGCTAAGTTCGCTTTTAATTCAAGTGGAAAGTGAATTACAGAACCTGCCCGAGTGCGTAAATAGATTACTGTCCTTCAAAGATCTTTATTAGAAATTAGCAGGCAAGTTTTTCGTCTTAACCCTTTAGATTTTTATAAGTCTTTTGTTAATATTTAAAATTTTTTAAGGGCCGAGGGACGTCATAATGGTGCCATGATATTTGAGAGACGAGCTGGGAAACTGAACGTTGGTTAGCGCGGAGTTCTTTAAGCTTCATTTCGATGTATTTTCCATGCAACATACCTCTTTCCATGCAACATAACCTCTTAAATAGGCATTGTTTCTGTGAAGCCCTTCCATTCCTTCCAAAATTCTGAGGAAGCTGATTGATTTGCACATTTATCCATACGTAAAGACTTCACTGTAGTGATGCTCTTCTCGAAATCAAAGGTTCTTTTTATAATTTTCTGCTAGTAGAGCTGTGTAAAAGAGGATGCCGGATGATGTGCATCACGCTGCATTTTTGGAAAGAGGAAAATTTCTGGATACACTGTATTTTCTTAGCGATCTTCTAACAGTGGGAACGCTGTAAACCCTAACAAGACGGATCACATCTAGTTCACGTGACTCTTCTGGCAATTGGACGCTGTCTTCCTGTTGATTTTTGGCATAGTCAAGTTCTTGGACTTTGGCTATCGCAAAAGCCAAACATTGGCGAAAGACTATAGAAGGCGGATAATATGGATCTCATCGAGGCTAGACTGGCGCCAATGAACTTTCTTTCTCTACTCACGTCCCCACAAAGATCTGTACATAATTCACCATCAACCGTAACTGTATGCTCCTTATGTAAACTCGGCGAACGCTGGGCATGATCTTTCTGCCCAAGATGACCGTTAGACTTACAAAGCCTCAATTCTCAATTCTGGTGGTGTATTGATAGGTCCCATTGAGATTAACGTGGTGAGACTACATAACGAACGGAATGCTCATGGTCGAAGCCGCTTGGCAGACGACGGGGTGGAGTAATGTCAACACTTCTACCAGTTTTTGCAAGACTGTGGTCTTGCAGCTGGGAGGAGGTTTTTAGGATCAACATTTGCCGCAATTTGTTTTCGCTATAACTTAGCAGTTTATCCCGTTTGTCTTAAAGTCAAATTTGGCAAGAAATGACGGAAGTTTCTTACAAATATTCCTCTACTACTTTGCCTTATAAAACAATATAACTTGTAGATCTTCGTGTAAAATATAGAAGTACTGGACACTCTGAATTCGCTCGCCTCCTACATAAATTCGACAATAAAATATATGTATATACAAAGGTGGTGTCGGATTTTAAAAATCTAATCCAATATGTGGGACGATTTTTTTTTATTCAACTTTTAGCTTGCCGCTTGATAATCTGGGAGTTTACGGCGTTGCTGGATTCAAATCTGGTATAAAATTTTATAATTTCAGAATGGCTGTTCCAAGATAAAGGACGATTAACTTTAAATTCAAAATTTTTGCTCGAAACTTGAGACTCGGGGCTTTTCGGGATTTCTGAACTCAAATCTGTTGTCAGATTTTAAAAATTCTAAATGGTGGATCCATAATTGATCTACCATTTATAACGGAAAGGTTCATACCGAACATACATACGTACATGGCGTATGAGTAACATTCTCATCTCATCAGAGTAACTCATACGCCGTGTACGTACGTTCGATTTAAACTTTTCCTTTGTAAATGGTAGATCCAACATGGATACTCGTACATATAGATATGTATGTATAAGCTAGAAGGCATAATGCGTTTTTACTTCCTGAAAAAAAAATAAAAATAAACAATCATATTTTCGTAGGCAGTCAAAACAAAATAAAAATAACAGTTGTTGACTTTTGCAAAAAAAAAATGAATATTTTAAACTACTGCGTGCTTTTATGTGCATATTGACATTTATTCACCCATTAGATATGCATTTTATGCGGCAAAATATTTATTGCTTCTAAAAATATCAATAAACTTTCCACGAATACACGTGTACGATAGCAGATAATCAAATTTTGTTTACCTTTTTCTATCAACTCAACCAGAATGTAATTGACCACACAATTTTCAATAGATATCAATAAAATACATATAAATTTACATATAGTTACATATGTATTTCCTTTAGCCAACGTATAGCCGCCTGACGGGTTTGGGCCGCACTTCACCAACAATTTCTTGTTTTAGTTTTAAGAATAGCTTTGAAGGAAAAATTAATTGTATGAAAAGTAAAGAAATGCGAGTAAAATCAATGTTTAGAAGCGTTTAGCTGTTAGCTTTCATTTAGCATACATATTAGGCGCATTCGAAATATTTCACTTTCACTGCATCGAACACGCGACCTTTGAAGTATTACCTAAACATTTGGCCGCAATAAAACACCGTCGCCCACACTTATCCCTAGAAAACCAAGTTGAATTATTTGCACAGTTATTTAAGCAGAAATGTAGTATGTTCATATTTACACACATACATACATGCATACGCCTCAATACACCTGCCGCAGTTAATTTCCATACATAAATATTTTTGCCGCAGTTTCCCTGTCAAATTTAGCAAAATATTCGGTGAATAACAAAAATCAGATGTAGGCAAAAATATTTACAAACATAACTAGTCATTTGTAAATACACATATGTACATATGTATCTATGTAGTTGTTTTGCGGTGAAGTGATACATATCGCACTAATATGGCATACAAATGAGGCAAACATAACGCACGTTTAATAATATAGAGAAGGAATTCAAAATTTACGTTTTTCGGGATTTAATCATACAACTAATAGGCCCAAGATACCGTCGGCTGCCTAAAGGGACTTGGTAGTCGATTTCCTTACTACTAAATGTTTGACCATTGCGGCTTTAAAATTAATGAATTTTTGCCTACCCAAGGCTAGGCAGTGTTCGGAAGTCTCCTCGTCCTCAAGACAGATCTAGCATTCTGACTCTTTGATGATACCAATACCCTGGATAGAAGCAATAAAATTCTAGATGCTATATCTAGCTAGATTATACTACTCTTCGATTCAGTTTTGATAAAAGATTTTCATAAAGGATCTCCGTGTAAAATGCTTGATTCTAGTTCAATTTCAATCTTCAGTGAAGGCTCTAGAGCGTGATGTCATAAGCTTGCGTATACCGGGGTACGGCGGATTCTTTCAGGCTGAAATAATAAGCATCATGAAGATAGCGCTCTGCTCCATGAACTCTTCTGTAATAAAATAGGTACTCGATCACCGTCCATTCTTACAACCAGGCTGCGATTTAACGGTGCAATAATACCTCTTCCAAGGTAGAAATTCAACGTAGAATGGTTCTAAACAACTTGGCCATGCGATGCACAAAGAATGTAGCCTGGGTTCCTAGGCACAGAAATATTCCGGAAAAAAGCATTGCGAAGGAGCAAAGAATTCTGACCAAAATGCCGGTAAGCAAACTATTTCAAAATAACATCATTCAAGAGGACAATAGGTCCTGATTAGACGAGGGCACTTGTAAAGCAACTAGGCTACTACGGTCGCAAATTGTCAGGAAAAAAATAGAAGAACTGTTCAGCCTCTCAAATGAGGACATTTCGAGGTCATGGCTTGTTTAACCGGTCATTGGCTATTTGGTAGGCACGCTTCGAGATTGGGAATATTCTCCCATGAATATTGTAGAAGTAGCAGAGACGAGGAAGAAGAAGAAACAGTTGAGCATTTCTTCTGTAGCTGCCCTGATATAGCTAAGAGCAAGAGAGGGCTGTGTAGGAAGACACTTTTTCGGCTCTATAACGGAAATATCCGGTGTAGCATTAAAACCAATCCTACGCTTCACAAGAGCTTCAAAATGGTTCTATGCAGAATAGTCACTGAGGTTTTTCGTGATTCGCAGTTGTATCACAATGGATCTGCAAGGTCTAAATAAGTTGGTGATTGGATCGACTGCTATATGAACCTAGCTTAACCTAAACTATCCTCAAACGAGCTATGGACCAGATCTGTTTTAATTAAACGAGACTGCCACAAGTGGGCTGATTTTATCAACGGATACTGTTCAGTGGGAATATATGGAGAGCGTAAGGGTGTACGACTTCTACCGCAGTTGCAGGAACGAGGAGAAGGTAAAGAGCATAGAGCACTTTCTTTGCCACTGCAACGCCAACATAATTTGAAACATCTCTATTACGATTTACCAGTGGATTTACAATCCTTGAGTCCTCTCTGAGAAAATAGGTGGATCCTTTGCACGGGAATGTGGATGGGGCACACGTCGGGTTACGCTATTTATATAACACATTCAGGCAGAATCGGGGCCCTCAACATTCCGCATGGAGAGTGGCAGTCAACGTTACTTGAAGTA